TTCACTGTTTAGGAAAGTCAAAAGCACAGTGTATTTGGCAATAAAGTGGCACGTGTTTGCCCATGGAACAAACGGTGGTATCATAGACTCCTCCACCTGGCGAGATATTTGACAAGCAACTACATCTGTGGCATAAATGGAGATGAAAATCCTTATTAGTCGCCCTTAGAGTTTTATTTGCTCTGCAGCACACCATTAATGATGTGTGGCATCATTAACAGTGTTACACCTGAGTACTGGCTATTTCAACAGCAAACATGTTTTCTAGGCCTGCATCTTAAGCACATTCTGTTAATGTTAAGAGAATGGATGGTTATACAGAGGATAAAGAATTTGCCTTATTTTTTGACTTATTGTGGGTCGACACTGTTGAGGTTGGTGGTGAAGGTGGCGGCCAGTACGATTTGCATGGAGTTGGCAGATGACAGTAGTAAATGCAAGAGAGGTAAGTATAGCTGTCCTCTATTTTCCGCCCAAAAATCATGCTGATCGACGCCTGATGGCCTTCGTATTGATGGAAATTTAGACTAGACCATTACGACGCATGAGTTGTCCGATGGCGGTTCCAGAATCGTGTACCGTAGGAAGCATGGGGACAAGGAGCATGCCACGCAATCGTTTACATTCATTAATACTTTTGTGCTAACTTGTTATTTTTATTTAAACATTGTAATGCCAATTGCATTAGTTAGAATAGGCTATTAGCTGTAAATAATTTGAGAAAGGCTTGCAAACTTGAATATACAGATCTACGAATGGTCAAAAGTCTAAAAGAGTTTAAAATGAACTTATGTGGCAAGTTCTTTGGCAGTTACGAACCCGACAGTTGTTATAACTTAGAGATAATATGACGTATTACTTCCAAATCGTCGACGCTTGATCATAACGTTATGAAGCAGACGCATGGGTTGAGATAGTAAAGAATTTATCTCCTTTCTAAATTTAAACTATTCAAGTCGAATCGCTCCAGACTGATACATGGATAGCTGAAAGAGGTGACTACGCGCAGACAGAACGAATAGATAAGCAGTACATTCCTTTTTCAGTTTCAGCTTTATTTTTTACACTTTACCTCTTTTGGATTGTCTAATACAGGCCTCTAGACGAGTACTATATGGGCACTTAGTGCTTGAAATCAGGTTCACTTTTTAGTTTGGCAGAATTTGAATGCGATTTATGTGACGCTGCACCATCACCATCTGGTTTAAGGAATCGGTAACAAAATAAACTTATCTCTAAAACATATATCACCATGACCTTGCTAACTAGCAAAAGGGCAGACGCATTGATACCTTTGATGATACTTCCTTTTGACACGGCCTTTCCCGTGTTGCCGGTGGTGCCTCAATCTACTGAATATGCAGAGGGGGACTGTGTGCTATCAGGCATTCGCCTAGGTAAAAAGCACACACCGTTGATGACTGAAATACGATGCGCAAAGTGACTCGATGAGGCCTCGATGTGCTATTAGTTTTGTCTGGAACTTATGCGTGCGCAAGCAAAATTTTAGTGCATTTTAAGCGGTGCTTCAGTGAGGAAATAATTGTCATTTTAGTATTTTTACTTCACATCAATTTATATTACCACTGTTTGCATTTCGCTCCAGGCAATATGCACGCTAGTTACTGCGCTACTTTCCAAGCACATGGTTTAGTCCAATCCAATCCTTATAAGAATACCTGTCTTTTAACAAATATTTCTGTACCTAAGATCGAAATAAGGCCTCGAACGTGAAAGAAATGTGTGAAGAGGGAGCACCTCTATTGCCATGTGAGAACCATTTGCCCTACCTCCCCAGTCGGCTTGCTTCAAATTAGCCCGAAATTCTTCTTGTGAAAATTAAAAGCGGAGAATGGCATTGAGTGCGCACAAACAATTAAAAAAGAAGTGACTTGGCTTCTCATTTCATTCTACTATCAGGGACTGAGATATACAAACTCGTTTTAATTATGGCATTGAAAAGTCATGCATCCTTGAAACAATAACTAAGACATCACGTATTGCCATTAAATGGATTTGCGGCTTTAATCTTCACCATATACCGTATTATGTTTGTCGGAATGGTAGTCTGCTAAGTTTGCTACAACCTGGGGGTTAAAAACTTCAAGCGTTGAGTTTTACCACTGGTCAGGTCTTTATTCACGCTTTTTTGCTACAAATATCAAGGTCAATTCATTGCTGAGGATTCCAAGTGGCCTCCTCCATTTGTAAAGTGTCCCTTACGTTTCGATTTTATCCATTTCTAATAAACGTCAACCATTTGGTCAAACCTCTATTATTGTACCTGGCAGTAAGATTCAGTCCCTAAATGAGTACATGTTTACGTTAGAAGACTGTGAAATACGTTGGCCAAATGAATAGTTTCTGCAATTATAGCCTCAACCTTTATCAACACCTCAGGTACCAACGTTGTCCATGTCAAACTCCCCCTCATTTTTACATGTGCCAGCAACACTGGCACTTGGGTTAGTGACTAATACTCGAACCTCATTCGACCAGCAACGTTTTTTCTCGCCATTCGCTCTCCTATTCTAAAGACTTACTTTCTTTGATTAATTTTTAGAGAGGCACTGCTGGCCGAAATGAAAAACGCTTCATATCTTAACCATCAGTGAATCAATTCGGAGGCTCAAAGGGAGCAGATGAAAACTAGATTAACTCAGTAGGGGATACTAAACGGGCTTTGACATCCGCCTCCGGTTTTTTTGAAACAGCTCAATTTTTTCAACAAACACTCATGCAGAACAGTTGGTCAGTTGAGAGGATACTTGGATGTCATTAAAAACGTACCTTATGGAAAAAAGAAAGGAATTCATTCGCATCTCACATCTTTAAATTGATGCTACAAATGAGTAACTGGAACCACGATGGTGGCTAGCACCCAACCTTGTATCTATTCGAAACAAAGTTTCAACAATTCATTTGAAAGCCACAAAGAAATTCCCATCTTTGTTTTGTTCAGTTAGTCTCTTTTCCAGCCCTTCTTTCCTTGCTGCAATTAAATCTTCATTGGTTTAGTCGATTTAGTAAAGTCCAATTCTGATACCCATTGATGAGCCCGATTTGATAATGGAATATTTGATAAATAGGCGATAGGTATAAGTATTCATTACTTTACAGCTGTGTGTCGTAGATAAAATGTTGAACAGTTACCGATGTTTTAGTACCTGCATGTATCAAAATGTCGACCGCAAGCCTCTTTTGTCCCGGTATGTCCTGCCAACAGGCACAATCGTACACAGCTACTGGTAATAGCGGTATGTCAAACGTTTTGATATCTATTTTGCTTCTTCTCGAGTGAATCTACGATGGATTCGGATCACAATTTGCCTCAATTGGCTGGGGGTTACGTAAATAGGTGATCCTCAAATCCAAAAAAATGAAGTAAATCGTGTATTTTCGCCTAATATTACTTCGCCCTAGAGCAACACGCCGCGTGAAAGCACAATCTGCGGAGACTTCAGTGCCTGCGTAATTAAACGCCGAGTTGCACAAACTACCAAAGTATTGTATTATTATGGAGTAATTGTTTTCCAGTGCACTACTTCTCTTTAACTATTTGGCGTACTTTTCATTCTTTAAAGGCAGCGAGACGAATAAAATGCCGCTGTATTTTGTCGTCTAACTTGCCTTCAGTTACTAAATTTACTAAACAAAGATTAAAGTAAACAGTAGTTCCCACTGGGTTTGCTCAGTTATTTAAAAGTATTTACAAAGTTGCGTTGCTTTTAAAGCATCTGCAAGCGAATGACTATGAAAATGGGTTTAAACGGTATACATATTTACCACTCAGGCAACACCTTCGAACACCGCAAAAACATGGCCATGCCATGCTCTTTGAAAAGGCTTTGTGCCCTAACCAAAAAGCAAGCTTAGTACGTCATTCTGATAGGCACTGTAAGCTATACACCCGATTTTTTGTTCAAGATCACTATCCTACGTGTAAATTCATTTCACAATGCAAGCAAAAGCAAAGCAGCTGAATAATGCTACGGCTTTCACGGTTACTTTTGGTACAAAAAACACAAAGAATGGCAACGATTCATCTAATCAGTCCCTTTCTAAAACCATCTAAAAGGATTTTGACAAGAAACGGTAGTTCTGTTTCCTTCGCTGATTATTTTAAATTTATCATGTTAACGCTTTTGCTGCGGCTC